TTCCAAATTGAATCTTTCAATCGTGGGAGTTAGATCGAACACAAATCTTCATTCACACAGCGAACCAGAAGCCTAGCCTCATTTTTGTCGTGAGAGACACCAAAGTTCAGAACAATTGCATCACACGAACACAGACCTGACATCCAACAAACACAAGAAGCAAGAAACACAACCCTTCTCCCACAAAAAAGACGAACGCAAGTCAAATCAACAACTGACAGAAAATGGACCGCGAAACTTGGAAGAAATCTCCCTTGACACGCAAGGAAAAGGTGCATACCCAAATCTTTGCGAACGCGGCTCAAGCCAGTCGTCTGATTGCGGAAGAAATTGCTGCTTTGATTCGAGATAAAGCAGACAAGAAACAAAAGGCGGTCTTGGGTTTGGCCACAGGATCCTCCCCACTGGGAGTGTACAAGGAACTCATTCGCATGCACAAAGAAGAGGGATTGAGTTTCCAAAATGTCATTACGTTCAACTTGGACGAATACTATCCCATGCAACCAACGTCACTGCAAAGTTATGTGAGATTCATGAAGGAGAATCTGTTTGATGAAATTGATATTCCTCCTGATAATGTCCACATCCCCGACGGTACTCTACCACGGGATAAGGTAGCCGAGTTTTGTGCCGAGTACGAACGATTGATCACCGACGCCGGTGGTTTGGACTTGCAAATCTTGGGTATTGGTAGGTCTTGAAGGGAAATCGTAACAGAAACCAATGACATTCCAGAGGAGCTCCGAAATGTTCCTTCAGTACATGTACTCTTACCGCGTTCCTTCCCCTAAATTTTTCTTCCAGGCCGAACTGGGCACATTGGTAGGGGTTGAACAGCCGAAATGAATTTCGACCCTCTCTGTTTTCTTATTCCCGACGGACATGCCATTGTCTAACCTATTAATCCTATCTTCTTCTTGCCTGTAGGTTTCAATGAACCCGGATCGCCGTTGGATTCATCTACACGTTTGGTGACTCTGGATTATGTCACGAGAACCGATGCCGCCAGTGATTTCTTTGGTCAAGAAAATGTCCCCCGCAAGGCCATCACCATGGGCATTGGGGCCATTATGAAATCCAAACGATGCATTCTCATGGCTTGGGGCGAAAACAAGGCTCGGATTGTACAAAAGGCGATTGAAGGTGAACTCAGTGAGCAGGTACCCGCCACATATCTACAACAGCATCCCAACACACTCTATGTCTTGGAGGAATCCGCCAGCACTGAATTGAGTCGAGTGCAACGTCCTTGGTGTTTTGTCCCGATCGATTGGACCAGTCAAACCACCACCAAAAAAGCCGTCATTTGGCTGGCCAAAAAGCTGGGCAAAGCAGTGTTGAAGTTGACCGATCGAGATTACATGGACAATGGCATGAGTGATCTTATTCTGGATCAAGATTCAGCCTACAACATCAACATTCGTGTCTTCAAATTGTTGCAACGAACCATTACAGGATGGCCCGGCGGCAAACCCAATGTCGATGATACCCATCGACCTGAACGAAAGGATCCAGCACAGAAGCGAGTATTGATCTTTTCACCTCATCCCGATGACGATGTCATTTCCATGGGTGGGACGTTTCAACGGTTGGTCGACCAAGGTCATGAAGTCTACACGGCTTATCAGACCAGTGGCAACATTGCCGTGTTTGACGATGATGTCATGAGATTTGCGGATTTTGTAGCCGACATTCGCCAGCAAGAGGAGGAGAAAACCAATGGACACGACACTCTCTACCATCGCGTGGTCAAATCCATACGCAGCAAACAACCGGGTGATATTGATAGCGACGAAGTCTTAAACGTCAAGGCGCTCATTCGAAAGAGCGAAGCACGAGCGGCGTGTCGCTACGTGGGTGTCCCGGATGAAAGGATTCATTTTTTGAACTTGCCCTTCTACGAGACTGGTACTGTCAAAAAGCGTCCTCCCGGTGAACAAGACTTTCAAATCGTCTGCGATCTGATTCAACAAATACAGCCTCACCAGATCTATGCCGCTGGAGATTTGAGTGATCCTCATGGAACGCATCGGGTCTGCCTGCAAGTTATCTTTGAGTCTATCGACCGTCTGAAACAGTCGGGTGCTCTGAATCAGGATGACTGTTGGGTCTGGCTTTACCGAGGTGCGTGGCAGGAGTACCCCATGGACGAGATTGACATGGCCGTGCCACTGAGCCCGGACGAAGTGACAGGAAAGCGCCGGGCAATCTTTAAACATCAGAGCCAAAAGGACACGGCCCTGTTTCCCGGTGCGGATCCACGAGAGTTCTGGCAACGAGCAGAAGCTCGCAATGCTCAGCTAGCGCAGGATTATGATGAGCTGGGCCTTCCCGAGTATGCTGCAATGGAGGCTTTCAAACGCTACCACTATTGATTGAGGTGGCCGGTTGGTTGGCGACGTGAAGGAAAGGAACGAAAGATATGCACGGAAGCCTTCATAGCTCATCACTAGCTAGATGGCTTTCATAGCACCACCCGTGCCATTCCGTCAACTTTAGTGGTAGTACCTTGGTGTACCGTACGCTGAACTTGCATGCATTGAATCCCTTCTGACATAGTTAGAACACTATTGCATGCGATTCTAACCTTGCGACGAGATCAACATCTGCAAAACTAGTTAATGACTATAATGGATTATTGACCATGATTGGGTAGAATTGGGCAGTTTGCGGAAGGTCAGAGATAACTGGCCAACCATGCTACTTCGGTTCTGGTAGGTTGTTATGAGTAGTTCAGATCCAATCTGAAAAATGCCAAAAAGAGAGTAGCCAAGCCTGAAGCAGCACAGAAAGAAAGGGAGGAGCCTCTCTCTTATTTGTTTGTGTGTCCAACTGCTTCTCGATCCACCGTCCCAAACACCAAAATGCTGCCCCAGTATACCGCTCGGGAGGCTTCTTTGGTCAATCGTACCAGTGGTCGTTCGACAGTCATTTTTTCTCGCACTTGATGCCATAGATTGTCGACTTTTTGCTTGGCCGCAGCGGCCAATAAATGGGTCAATTCTGCGTCGTCTGGAAGTTGTGATGATGATAGTGAAGATGATGATGGCGGCTGTTGTAGCAGTAGTTGCTGTCTGGAGAGGGTCTTCCGTGGTATTTGTGGAGATTCGGGGAGGGCTAGTTCAGGGTGTTTTTCAATGTGTCGATCGCGTTCCTCCAATAGGTGACACATGGGGAGAGAGACGATTGGGTTGTAGGGATCATGGGCTCCAGGAAGTCGGCATTCAGGGCTGCATAATACGGTAGGACATGGATAATGAACCCGGAACAAGATACCCCATTAGTTGATGTGAGATCGATTCGATTCGATGGAGAGGTATGCGTGAAAACGCAAAAACTGACGTACCAGGGTATTGCAACGATCTCTTCCTTGTCGTCATCATATGATGGAGGCGTTGCCTGATATATGGCTATCATGCTGTAATGGCAGAAAGGGGGCGACAGGAATCATTGTCAGCACCGATTTCACCAGGTTTCCGGGATTCAACGTCACCGGAGAGACAGTACATGTATCAGCTATCTCCTATATCGATTGCTATAACTTACCAGGAATAGCAGAGGGTATGAGCACAGACACGGCTCTTCAAAAAGTATGGAAGAGATAAACAACTGTGAGATCATCGCGCAGCCGAATGCCAACGCTCAGTGAAAAGGATCAGGGTAGCCACCCCCAGATAGCGTACCGGTAGGACAACTTACCTGAACTGGTAGATGCGACCTATCCTCCGCAGACGCATCATAGTCAAACTGTTCGTAACAGATAGTGCACTGATGAGCCATTCTCTAGCCAGATCTCTTTGATTTCTTGCGGCAGGAAAGACAGGTGTCAGTTGCAGCTCTTTCTTCAATCTTGTGAGAGTGAGCGATTGGCGCGTTGTTTGGTTTCTGCCAGGTCTGTGCATGTGGCCGTTGTTCTCATTGGCAGAACCTTGTTTAAAAAAGGTGAGCCCACAGAGCTGCTTCGTCACCAGCAATGAACGTACCGGTAAGCAAGTACGTCCGGACTTGACAAAAAACAAAACTACAGCAAGCCACAACGTGACACTATCCTGGCCATGAAGTTGGACTAACAAAACGCATTCAACTCTAGCTCTTTCCAATTTAAAATAATGTTACAGTTAGAATATGATGCAGGCAGATGTATATATCTCCATTCTACAGTAGCTAGTTCTGGCTGGGTTGTATCAGCAGTTCCAAAAGACGGGGTGCCATGGGCATCATTTCCATGTAGGCAAATTGATTGTAGTTCATGACTTGCATATACGAGTCCAGATCGCGCAATCGCGGATCAATGTTCAGACGTTGACAAATCTGTTCGTATAATTCCCTGTCTTTTTCGGATAGATCCGGCCGCAAGAGGGGTGCCACAATGGTTCTCAAATCGTCCCAGACATGCAAGAATCCTCCCGCCAGTTTGGGGCGGTCTTGGTATTCCTTGGCCAGAAGAGGTGAAACCAAGGGTGGGAATTCAGCGTAACGTTTGGTGATTTGAAAGAAAAATTGGGCATTTTGATCCGTTCCATGAAAGAGTTGTTTGGGCAAAAATCCTTTCCTATCGCCCTCCGTGGCTCCCTTTTTCCGTTTGTAATTGTCTTCAAGCAGAAGGTGACGAAAACCATGCTTCAAGAGTGTGGGATACCTTGTGCTGGGATCCAAATGATCGTCCAGGAGTACCAAGGTTTGATCCGGATTTATTTCCCCCCCGGCGATTTTGGCAGCCCAATCCACTTGATTGAAATCTTGAAACTTGGCAGTGCCAGTGTAGTACTCGGTTTTACCAGCAGAAGGATCAATCCATCTTTCTTTTTGTTCACAAATGGGTATATCCAATGGATCAATGGCATATATTTTGGCATTGGGTGCAGCGGCTCGCATGAGGTAGGTGCTGTGACCAGCATTGACGCCACTTTCAATAATGGTAGTGGGTTGTAGGTATTTGATAGTGGCATAGAGATACAGAGAATGATTGATCCGCATGCCACAGAGATTCACCTTGTCGGGTCGATTTTCGTAGACTTTCAAAAACTCTTCCAGCTTGTCAGGATCTGACATCCAATCCCCGACAGACTCAACAAAGTCTACTTTCCCCTTCTTGACCAAGGCATGGCCAACCTCCTCCTTGGGCACCCCTTGCCATGGGTACTTTTGGTAGGCTGGCCACTCTTCTTTCTGAAGCCCATTGTGCGTAGTTGTTGTTGTAGGCTGGGTGCTGTCTAGTTCTTTTTGAGCTTCCAGTAATAGCAAGCTAAATGCCAGGGTCCCGGATTTCTGTGTGAATAAGGTGAAGGAGACACTGCAAACGAGGGCAAACGCAAGGCACACCCGGCCCAAATGATGCGACGCCATACACCTATTATTGGCATGGTTGCTTTGTTTCGTTTTCTTCAAGCGCACCATTCCTGATCTTAATTTCAATCAAGTACTAGTAAGTGGATTGATGAGTAATAACTGATTGTTCTTCGAAATGGCATGAAAAATAAATGCTGAATGGCTGGTTCTTGAGTACTCCATGGCTCTATGGTGGTTCAGATATACCGTAGCCTACATGTATCATACAGCGCACAACACAACACACCACAACAGGCCTGGTCCTTTTTTGCGATCCTTTGCCGGCAGGCCGTCTTTTGGCGAATTACTGGCCCCTCGTGTGCTCGTGGATAAATCAAATCGAATTTTAAATGTTATACAGCAGAGCTGATAAATCATTCTGTCAGCGGGTTCAAATTGGTATCTTCTTGGATGACTGCTCCTGACCCTCCATTTTCCCTTTTTGCGCCCTCGACATGCATCATTGATCCTCTGGATAATCACGCATCATCTATTCTGCAGCTCCTGTTCATCTCTGTGGTTGGTCCCCTTATTGTTGTCCAACTCTACTTGCCAGCTAGCAAGTCTATAAGTTCTTCTCTTCAGCTCTTTGACGAACGTCGATCGAGTTAGTTTGTGAACGATCATCACATCATGATGTTGACTTCACGGTTTGTCGCTCAGCGATCTTTGCGACGAGTAGTACCACCGTCGATCCAATCTACTACAAGAAGTACAGGACCAATCTTGGGTTGTGGGGCTCTGCGCCAATACTCTCCCACGGGTACAAAGCTGAATGACGAAGCCGTGCAAAAAGACGAAGAAGAAGCTCCACTATTTACCAAGAAGGACAAGAAAGCCGCTGCTCGCGACTACAATTCTCGCCGCGCCAACTACCGCCGCCATGTCTCGGTGCTCCGCAAACAGTACTTTGCCGAGTACGAGAAGGAAATGGCGGCCGAACGGGCCCGAGTCGATGCCGAGCGAGAAGAAGTGACGCGTCGGAAATTGGAACGACAACGACTCAAAAATGTCCGCAGTGCTAGAAATGCCGTCCTCATGGAAGAAGCCCGACAACAGCGAGCTCGTGAATTTGAAGCGCATTTGGCCAAGATGCAAAAAGTCCGAGACGAAACCAAACGACGATATCAATATGCCCGACAAAGCGTCATTCAAGAATTGGAAGCCGCAGCCGCTCAATGGCTCACCAGTGTGGAGGAAGTCGAAGCGGCTTTTACGCATGAAGCCGAACAGCAATTGTGGGCGTATCCGGGGGGTGTTCTGGGAGAAGCCAATCCCAGTGTCGATTCCCATTTTTGGCAGTACGAATCCCACACCAATCACTTGGACAAGACATTTCAGAGTCCGCGAGAATTGTTGCTGGAAGATTTGCTGAAACGAGTCTACGACGATGCCTCGATTGATTATGAGAATTATTGGACCACGTCACGCATTCAAGAGCGGGATGCGGTTGTGCTCAAAGCCAAATTGCGAGCGTTGGTTCGAGCCGAAGGGAGACGATCGTTGTTGAGTCGACAGCAGGAACTGTTGTTGGGATATTACGAGACCAAGGAAGACGAAGTTCCCAAGCGCATGCCAGCACCCAATGTCAAGATTCTGGCCAATATTCGCGCACAAGAAAAGGAGGGTGTCGAAATTCTCATGAATGACCCCACCAAGTTCTTCACGTTTGAGAATCAGAGTACAGAAGGAGAAGGCGACACCGTTTACTCGGGTCCGACTCTGGGAGCGCCCATGGGCATTCGAGACCCACTGCGCGATGGAACCCCTGGGAATTCCGTCTTTCCCATTGGAGTGGCAGTAACACCCAAACAAGACAATCGAACACAACGAGAAAAGAAGCGGCAAGAGCGCGAACAAAAAATGTGGGAAGCCGCACAAGCAGCCAAGGAGGCCAGTCTGGAGGGAGGTGATGACGATGATGTATACGATGCCAATGAAACCATCAGCTACGACGACAACAATTGGGAATCGGACGACGAAGAATGGCGCAAGGGATTGGATCCAGTAGAGGATGCGGATATTATCAATGTCCCCATTGAGAAGCGATTCAGTGAGGCCGACATTAAATGGGTGGTGGCGCAACTGGAGCTTCGGACGGAGCATCTGCAAGGTCAATTGGCGAGAGAGGTGGATTCCTCCATGCAACGGTTGCGCACTCAAGCGGAGGATGATACTCCAGACGCCATGCGGAACCTCACCAATGACCAAGTGCTGGCCCTTGCCGAGTTTGTGGCTTCGAATGACCTCGCGCAATTGTCAGCAGACGAGGCCACAAATGCTTTGAAGGAGATTCCGTGTCTGGAAGATGTAGATCTGAAAGGATTGGTGGAGCTCATGAAATCCGCCGATTAAGACCCTTTGCAAATTGGAATGTGCTACCAGTATCTGCGTTGAGCAAGATCGCTGTTAGGAACCTATTGGAAATACGACAATCCTCAACATGACTTTGCTCTGTCAAGCTCCAGAATGCACCGTACTGGCACTCTTTTGTGCTTGCATTCGTGGCAGTAATAACGGTAACAACTAGAAAGTTGACAGAATCAGTAGAAGGCGAGGGTGCGATCTTTGATCATGCCTGTAAAGCACAAGTTGTTGTTCTTCCAACCTAAAGCTACATCGAAACCAATGTAAACGATACGGTAACTGGAGGCAAGCATCCGCGCTGAAGCTGCTTCACCTCACTGTCATGTTTTCTCGTCAGCGGCGTCAAATTTTCAGCTTCAAGGTAGAGCTCTTACTCGGAACAGGACAACTAGCGGAATCAATCGACTCTAAAAACAACAAGCTCCAGAAAGGGGCATGAGTTCACTTACTTGTGGCTAGGTATTCCACCTTTAGGCAACCTGCACCGCCCTTCCCCGTCGGAACAAAGGGACGGATTGGTTTGCAAAAGGTAGAATAGACAATTCAGATCTGTTGCAAATTCAACAATGGCATCCACCCAGCTCTCCCTGGATACTTGCTCGTGAGCCAACAAACTTTGACGACCGTAGCGATTGAGCTTGAGATAGAGCTGAATGTTGTAGGCTGCGTCTCTGCTTTTCATAATATTGTCAGTACAATTTGTCGTGGCAGTGTCATTCTGGATCGTCAAGTACTGCAGCGTATAGTTGCGCCTGAGCATGGCGGCAAAGATTTGCTGGCTATTGGCAGGGATCTTGGCACTCCCTCGCAAGCGAAAGGATTGGAGTGTTGGATTGACCAGCAGTGCGTTTGCAATGACATGGAGGATGTGTTGCTGGGTGGTGGTCTCCTCCATTGTGCTGTCGTCGTCGTCGTCGTCGTCGTCGTCCGCAAATTGGTTCACGGTCAAGGTCAAATCTTGCAGGGCGATGGGTGATCCCAGATAGCGTGCCACAGCCCATGCCACGGAAAGAGTCAACCGTGTTGGAAACGTCAAGCGGCCCAACTGACTGTGGTTCTGGAGCGCCGCCAAAAAGGAGACCGTGTTCTGACAAGACAAGTCAAAATTCCGCAGCATGAGTTCCCGTAGACTGGGAGCCATCGCCAGGGATTCCAACGTTGGTTCCGTCAACGTGCCAGATGCATCCGAACAACAAATGGTGAGCCATGCGAGCCGAGGACATGTCTGAAGCAACATGGAAATGAGAGGATCCAATGTCATTTCTTCTGGTGGATGACGAGGATTGTCGTCATGGTCTTTGATTAGTAAAGAAGCACGGTCGAGACAGCACTGCCGCAATTGGGACTTTGCTTCGTTGTCTTGCAGCCATTGCAAGTTGTCATTTCGAAATTGAATCTTGACATAGGATAGATCGATCCGCTGGAGAGCCTTGCCTTCCATCAATGCCACAGCTAGGACTTCCACGGGGAGCACATTGCTGAAACTTGTAAGGCCACTGTCGAACGTCAGCTTTTCTATTCTAGGTTCTACTCGAAACAATGTTTGCAAAAACGAGACCATTTGATCCGTCCTGGTTCTGGATCCTTGAAAAAAGATCTGTTCGACAATCGATACACGGACTTCTTGGCACGCATAGGCCGACTCCAACAGGTTCTCTTCGACTTGTCGCAGATCCGTGTCGGCATCCAAGGAAAACACACAAAGGCTGTCGCTTATCATGTGGGCGTGGTTGGTTTTGTCAATGCTGCGACGGGATACAGCTTACAATTCAGCTTTACAGCTTTACAATTAGCAGGCTTATTCTAGAAAATAATCAATAACTGCTCACTTATTTGGAAATACAAACTTTACATCTCTTAGATCGTTAGATTAATCAATCCACAATGGTATTGTCGCAAATGCATCCCCTATCTCTCCCCGTTTATCATCGTGAGGCTTGCTTCGAATTGGGCTTTTCGATCCAGTGTGATGCCAGAAAGCGGGGGGAAGGGGGAAGTGACCCGGATGTTTGGAAACACACTTTCTAATTTTTAAATGAATGAGAATCCAATTACAGTAGTCTACCTGGTAATTTCTATTAAAGAAATCTACTAGCTAGTATCGGTACAGTTCCTCGGCTTTTTCGGCGGAAAATATTATTTGAACAGAAACAGTAGCCAATTGTATGGCTCCTGGAGACAAAAATTGGAAAACAGGTAGTTGCGGTACATTTAGTTTTTACACAAAAATTCAGATTGAAACATAACTTTAATCCTAAATTTACTCTTCTAAACCTGCATAGCTGTGCGAAGAGGGCAGGGACGGATGCAAATCAATCGCATTTTGCACATTGGCTACATACCGGTACACTGTACTAGTAATGGAGTAGGGTACCAGGTACAGTAGTAACAATAGAGTCCGTACTACTCTTCCATAGACTGTTTCCCAGGTTAGTGTATATTGTGATTTTCAGGATGGGTGTGAATACAAAACGTCCGGTGTGCTAGCATGGCAGCAAGGTCATCTCAGCTAGCTAGCTCGGAACGTATTCATGTAACTGGTGCCTTGGTTTTTGCATGGTTAGCTATTGACAGATACAACTTACTCAGTACTAGTAGTACCCAGGATGTGGGTTCATAAATTATACCAGAGCGACATGAGGACTGGTACGTGCTACCGTACGAGTACCTACCTCCGGTACTGTGCGTCTGTGAGCTAGTATATATGCATAGTACGACTGAATCGGTCAACCGGGATCGTCCCGCGTGGAGTAATCTTGGTGGTGGTCTTGGTGGGAGTCAAAAGCCACATGGGCACAATGTCACAATGTCATTGTCGTGCCAGAAAAACAAAACTGGGTCTCTAATAAAAGCAGGATGAAGGGTGAACCCTGGCATGAATCAAATTCTCGTGGGGGTGCACCGTACACTGTACAGAAAATAATTATTACTACTGCTGCGGCGTAAGAAGCACCCGTCCTTGCAATCATGTGTCCGTTCCGGTTCGAAATCAAAAAAATGAGACATACTTTGGGCTTCGGGAAATGGTGCATAGTATGACACCGTATGACTCGGGATGAATCTTGTGCCTTGTACTTGTGTTCGACTAGGAGATACTACTAAGACCAGGTTAAAGTTGAATACAAAACGATTTGGGCGAATCACACCAGCTTTCGGCAAGCTTCACCAATCAACCAGAAGATCTAAAGATCTATCGTGCTGCTATGGAGACAGACGGCAATTTGTGTGTTCCTTGTGCGGACGCATGAAATCATCAACGATGCGCCTGCGACCGAAGCATGGACTCACAAGGCTTCCTGCGTCGAACCTTTTGCACGAAAGCACGGCAGTCCGGGGTACATCGTGACCATGTAAGCTTTTGTGACATTGCATACATGCGAGGACAAAACACCGCGAGGAGTAGCGAGGCTGGATCTCCTCGGTCCTCCATCGTTTTGTCTCTTTCATAAATCAAGCATTTGAAAAACCAAATCCACAACACAAGCTTCTAAACGAGAGACGAAGAATATACCCAATCACAATGTGCATCCAGACCTTGCAATCATCCAACAATGATGCCGCCCAGATTGACACAAAACTTGTCAAGGAAGACATGGGGCGACCAGCAGGCAATGACGAACTGAAAATTTGTGAAGAACACGATCCTGTTACAGGAAAGTTTCTCAACTACAAGGGAGTTCATCGGCCTATGGGAAACTTTACCAAAGAAGAGTACAAAGCCCTCAACGACTTTTGGTTGTCCTTCTGGAAGAACTCATTCCTTGGTAGGGGTATTCCGGACATTTACAGCCGTGAAGGCGAGGAGCAGTTTAGGGCCCGTGTTGGTGCAGTTGGCGACGTCTTTGTCGCTTGCTCCCTTGCCATGATCCTTGAAACTGCCTTCAAGTTCTCGATATTGCAGATTTTGGTTGCTGCCATTGCAGGCTTCTACCTTGCAGGACTCATGTTTGGCGTGTCCCATATGGCCTTCCATGCGCGAGTGCTGGACTACCACTGGAGTAGCAGCATCTGTACTAGTTATGTATTTCCTTATGGGCACCACCGCGGCCATCGGTTCATTGATGTATTTGCCAACCAATTATTGATCCAAATGTTTCCATCAGTTCGCCGCGAGGGTCGCATGTGGAACGAATTTATCAAGTATGGCCTGCTCTCATACTGGTGTTACCAAAGCAGTCAAACCAGGCTGTTGATGGGTTGGTTCCTCCTCTCGTGGATCATGGAGGCAGCCGGACATCATCACAGTCATGGTCAGAGCAAATCCCTCCCCCCAGTTGTGCGATTCATCATTCAGAATGTGTTTGCCCCACTCGGTCTACTCCCTGGACATGAGCACCACAAGGTTCACCATGACTACAGTCAAGAAACTCGCTTTAGCAACTTCACCGATCTCACAGTTCCTGGTTTGGATTTTGTGCTAAACAATGTTTGGGACTACTGCTACCACAAATACTATGAAAGTGGGGAGCTTTATGACTCGGGCTTGTCCATTCCTGGCACATGGGTCACACACGCTCTCAAAGTGGCTGGCTTAGGTTGCGCTTGGTTAGCTTCCTATGGTGTTGGTGTCGGTGCTACAAAATTCTGCATTATGATGCTTTTCTTTATTCACGTCGTGGATCCCTTGCGAATGCTCCTTTGGTACTTCACTAAAGTGCACCCAGCACTAAAGAAGTTGGGATTCTTTGGTGGTGTCAAGAGCAAGCCCTCCGTCAAAGACGCTTGAACACGATGACAATGTAACGTGGGATTGAACATGACAGAGAAGATGTCAACGGAAGAAATACTAATACTCGGTGCAATAATACAAGGGGTCAAAACGGAATCTGTCCAGGATTTTCTAACGTCTTGTTTCGATGGATGTTAAGTTATTGTTAAACAGCAGTATGGCCGGTTCGGGTGCTGCAAGTAATACCCCCCCCCCCCCCTCGTTCTGCGAATCCACACAGAAAAGCACAATCGACGAAGCCTCACCCCTGCTCATGGGAAGAGGTGAAGAAGTACGTACAACAACATCATGAACAACGGTAAGGGCCAAAGACCTGTCTATAGTTATATGCATTCTAATGTAGGATTCAAAAAGGGTTCTCTGCTCCCAGTTCTCTGCTCCCACTTCGCGGTTGCAACGTGTGGTAC